TATGCCTACCACTCACTAGTCTAGAAATGAAGATGAATTCTAGAAAGAGAGAAATGGTAAAGTCAATCAATTACGGGATAATATTCAGTTATTAAAATAACAATGAAAAATTACATAACAATGTAGGTAATACTAGTCAAGGAAAAAAGAGCAAAATACAAAACCACATGTCCTGGGAGACTACTATGACAATACACAATGATGTTTAGATTGTAGTTGCCTCTGTAGTTAATTATTACATTTATAATTTATAAAAGTTAATTACATCTCAAAACAAGTAAGTTTGTGGGTTTCTTAATTGTTGGACAACATGAGTAAAAATTCTTTCACATATAATTGCATTAATAGCAATTCCCTCCTCCTAACTGGTTTCAGGGGAATTAAATCTGACATTTTTGGTGTAATAACAAACGGTGAGAATGGCTGTTTGACATAATTGGTCCTTGTTTGATTTATTTATTTATTTACTTTCTTTCTTTCTCCCAGCTCTTGTCACTTCTAAGCTTTGGTGTCTTCCTGCAGCTCTTTGTTTGTCCTGGGTCCCCAAAGAAGCTAACATTTGAGGGAGGCCTGTCGGAGGGAACCTCCACCGGCGCCCAGACGGAGAAGACACTGCGTGCCTGCCTTCCTCACGCTGACCGGCTGTCACCGCGCTCATCCCGCCCTCCTATAGGATTGTGCTAGCAATCCTCGGACTCCGGCCATTCACAATACTTCCAGGAATTCAGATACAGATTTAGAAATGAAAGGAGGATGTCGTAAAAATCTAGTTTTATCAATACGATAACTCTCAATTAGTCAAGGTTCTTTTATCTGTTTGGAAGCTACCATGGCCTCTCAGGAGATGACCCTAAGGGGGACATCTGTAAGCCAATCTTCAAACTGATCCTTTCCAATGACTCCCCAGTTTCATTTTTACCTTTTTCACTACTAATTTTCTCTCCCTCCCTCCCTTCCTTTCTTTGCCATGGCATCATAGCTCACAGCAACCTCAAACTCTTGGGCTCAAGCAATCCTCTTGCCTCAGCCTCCCCAGCAGCTGGGACTACAGATGCCTGCCACCAAGACCTGCTAATTTTTCTATTTTTAGTGGAGATGAGGGTCTCACTCTTGCTTAGGCTGGTCTCAAACTCCTGAGCTCAAGCAATCTACCTGCTTTGGCCTCCCAGAGTGTTAGGATTTCAGGTGGGAGCCACCAAACCTGGCCTTTTTTCACTACTTTTCTAACATTTTTAATATGAATGGGGTATAAACTTAACTCACAAATCTTGAAGCAGTGATAAACCACTCATTGTGAGGGGGAGAGTGGGAGTAATGGAAGAGGTTGATGCTATTATGTGCTATTACACTGCTCGGCCCTCATTCATTTTATATGGTCCAGTTAAAATCCAGCGTACTGTTTCAAAAACATCAGACCCTAAACAACGAGAATCTATTTATGTCATTTTTGTTCTTTTTTTTGTTTGTTTTCTGCAATTTTGGCTGAGGCTGGGCTTGAATCCGCCACCTCCTGATATATGGGGCTGGTGCCCTACTTCTTGAGCCATAGGCGCCACCTTTTTGTAAATTACAGAATTATTACATGTTCATGCAAATGTTTAGTAGAATAGAAAAAATAAAATTAAATTAAACACTTTTTGGAATTTTAATGAGAAACACTCTCTCAGACCACTTCCTAGAACTCCCCTTTAACCTGGATGTAAAGAAGGCTTTTTAACTTTTGCTAAAAATATCCAGGTGCTATAACAGAAAGCATCAATTTTGACTAAATAGGAATTTAAAACTTTTCCTGGCAAAAATTATGAGCAAAGTCAGAAGACAAATGACAAACCGAGGGAAAATATCTACAGTGTATCCCCAGTAAAGGGCAAATGGTCTGTAAATAAATAACTTATTCTTTTTTTGAGATGGGGGTCTCACTCTGTTGCCCCAGCTGGAGTGCAGTGTGTGATCATAGCTCACTGCAGCCCTGAATTCCTGAGCTTCAGAGATCATCCCACCTCAACCTCCCAGGTAGCTAGGACAACAGGTGTACAGCAACACTCCTGGCTAATTAAACTTTTTTTTCTTTTTAGAGACAGAATCTCACTTTGTTGCTCTCAGTAGAGTGCTGTGGCATCACAGTTCACAGCAACCTCCAGCTTTTGGGCTTAGGCGATTCTCTTGCCTCAGCCTCCCGAGTAGCTGGGACTACAGGTGCCTGCCACAACATCTGGCTATTTTTGTTGTTGTTGTTGCAGTTTGGTCAGGGCCGGGTTTGAACCCACCACCCTCAGTATATGGGGCTGGTGCCCTACTCACTGAGCCACAGGTGCTGCCCTAAACATATATTTTTTTTCTTGTAGAGATGAGATCTTGCTTTGTTGCCCAGGCTGGCCTCAAACTCCTGGGCTCCAATAATCCACCCATCTCAGCCTCCCAAAACTCTGGGTTGATAGCATGAGCCACAATGTCCGGCCTATATAAAGAATTTTTAAAAATTCAAGAAAAATAAGACTGAAAGTCCTATAGAATAGGCAAAATCAGACAGTTACAAACAAAGACATTTTTTTAAAAAGCCCTTAAATATATGGGAAGATATTCAATTTCTCATAAATAAGGCAAATATAAATTAAAACAGCATTGAAATATCATTCCTCCCCCAACATATAGGCATAAATCCAGAGGCTTGATGATCACATTGATGGTGAAATTGTGAAGAAAAGAG